AGCCTCTGAAAACCAAACTGAGTCTCTGGACTCAAGGCGGTCGACCGCGGCGGTCGACCGCAAACAGATACATTGATTTTACAGGTTTTGAAGCAGTTTTTTGATTTTGAAACCCTGTTCAAAAATATTAAACAAATTTTAAAAATTATGAAACTTTGAGAAATGATTGTAGACATAATAATAAACATGCTACAAAAATTGGTTTTCAAAAATCACCTCCCATTTGAGAAATATCATCATTTTGCAAATATGTCCAAAACATGAAAATGTAAACACATGAATTTTGACATTTTGGTTAAACCATGTTTTGAAACTTTACAAAATAATTGTGTAGACTTAATAAAAGATGTATATAATGATTGTTAAGTCCATAAACCAATAACTCAATATTTTCTTAAAATTGCATATTTTGCAAACTTTTCAAAACAATAAATATGATTTCATTTAACTAAATAAACTTGATATTGATGAAATCATATATATGCATATAAATATGAAACAAGTATATATTTTCCATTTACATTCAATTGTTTCATATATATAAACCTGGAAATAGTAAAACCAAAACTTGTGTATATATATGTGACTATATATATATATATATATATATATATATAGAGGTTCTAATAAAAACCTCACTATCCTAAAAACTAAAAACCAATATCATCCAATGACAGAGATTCAGTCAAACAGTCAACAGACACATGCATTAATTACCTCATTAAACACATGCATTAATTATCTCAACGCAGTGAATCCAGATACGTTGAGGTAGTGAATCTGGATTCACTGCGTTGAGGTAATTAATGAGGTAATTAATGCATGTGTCTGTTGACTATTTGACTGAATCTCAGCCATTGGATGAATCTAGATCCAATTGATGAAAGAGGTTTTTAGTTTTTAGGCTAAGGAGGTTTTTATTAGAACCTCTCCCTATATATATATAACCTTCAGGTTCTATTTTAAACCGTCGGGTTTTATTCTAACCTTTGGGTTCTATTTTAAACCATCGGTTTCCATTCTAACCTTCAGGGTTTATTTTAAACCTTCGGATTTCATTCTAACCTTCGGGTTTTTTCGTTCAATGATTATTATCTTGAACTTCGGTTTGCTGTTATGGCTCCTTCAGAGAAGATTTCTAAACCACCCATGTCCCTCAATGATATATTTGTTTTTATGTATATATATATATATATATATATATATATATATATATATATATATATATATATATATATATAGAAACCAAAACATGTATGTATATATAACTATATATATACATAGAAACCAAAACTAAAATGTGTATATATATAACTGTATATATGTACAAGAAACCAATACAATGTGTGTATATGATATTGAGCTTAAAGTATCTAACACACATAATATAAACCTAAACTAGATTTACCCTAGCTTGATTTGATCTTCAATGAAGTTATTCTTGGTAAACTTGCGGATGAAGCTTGAACTTGAATTGCATTTGCTTCACTCCACTATTCCGCCAACATCCATTGAATATGATCGTGAAAGCTTGATTCCATCCATCCTTCAACTTATTGTTTGTCTACAATAAATAGAAAAGTACAAACACTAGACAAACAACATTAGTCATAAATTATTTGTTAAACATCATTAAAACAAAGAGGCCAACAAGATTTGCATTTGGTACCACAACAAAGTGCAAACATCTAATCAAAGGACTTGATGTTAATTTTTGCAACAAACACCGAATGCAACACCTGCATGTAATATTTACCGCATTTAAAATTGCAGTGCACTAAACACCCCTTTAAACACCAGCACTAGTTGATATGGCAGAAATGTCTTTCAATTTTTTTTTATCAATATGATTTAACCCTCTCGTTCTCTTTCTCACTCTCATTGTGCTTCAACTCTCTCTCTCTCTCTCTCTCTCTCTCTCTCTCTCTCTCTCTCTCTCTCTCTCTCTCTC